CAGCTTGTAAATGCAAGTAGTGTAACTTATTTTGGTAAAAAAATGAGGATGTCGTTTCTTTTAGGCCCAAAGTGAGTACAACATGTATACTGTACACATAAAAGTATATAATATATATTGGTTTTATTTTGACTTTTAACACCGCTTTAGCAAAATAAACAAGAGCTAGCGCAATAACGGGCAACCTATGTTTCACAATGTGTAAAGAATGGAACCCTACAATTTTCAGATCGAATTAAATGACTTATTCAATGCGCTATTTAGTCTGTTGACACGTCGTTTTGTGGGTACATTTTTTGTTTTCCAGACTTCTTATTATGTATTATCGTCGGCTTACAATAAGCGAGAGCTTACTGCTTAGGAACACAATAGGTTATTTTCAGGTTTTGTCCTAGCCAATATTAATATGATTAACCTTGAATTTTGTGATCTTGAGAATATCTGTGGTTTACACAAAACATTGTTAATTTACTTATAATGTTAGCCGCGACGCAACAGTACATATTGATTTCTTGACACACTCTCTTTGAGCGTACCTATTTTGTATTTCTATGCGAGTGAGACGGATTAAATGGTGGTACGTTTCAAAAATCGGCACCGCCACAGGTCGTTCTAATATTCCTAGGTGACTATTAATCGGCCGATCTGTTAGGCACGACTTAGAAAAATGTAACTCATGATTACAGGATACATCCGGCATCGGATGCATTATATTAATATGCAATGGTGGTTAATGATAATGATATAATTGTATAGTGTATCCAGCGGCTGTGGTGGCAACAGGAAGATTTGCATCCGCTTTGGCGCGGGACGTCATGTCGCCAAATAATATTGTGACCGTCTGCTATGGTACTAGTTTATAATAATAATAATAAGATATATATATATATATATATATTAGGTTGTCGTGACAACGGAGAGAGCCGAGAAGAACTGTTTTGTGCTCGGCAAGGTGGCTCGGCTGGTTTCACAGCATGCGTTTAAAGCGCACTGGGTTTAAATGCAAATTTCTCTAAGTCCTTTCTCCAGTTCCGGTCCTCCCCGCAGCTGCGACAATCGTACTCCAGGTAGAAGCTTCAGCCCCGGATCAGATCTGATATTATACATTCCCCCTCTCTACCTCAACCTAAGGTCGATTCTTTGTCTTTTCGAAACGAATATCTTGACTTTTAGGTGCGCCAATGTTTCCTTTTTTTGGAGGGAGGGGGTTTCTAACCCTGGCGGTGAACTAAGTCCAATGGTCGACATACACACACATACAAGAAAGGTTAAGTCTACGTGCGTATTTTGCTTCCTTTGCGTACGTGACATGTAACATTAATAGGATTTCCGCCCCAAGTGTATATAATATTTATAGTATTATATTATAATATGTATATTATGTTATAAGAATTGTCTAAATGTGATATTATCAAATCGCACACGTACATTTATACACTTACTGTTTTTACTATATTATAACGCTTGCAGAACTGTTGTGTTTTTGTTTTTACATATTGATTAGTTTGGTACTGTAATGCAGGGAGGCCTGAACGAATATTAAAGGTTTATATTATATTAACATACTGTAAGTGGTTCCTTAAACATCAACATTCAATGGCCAGCGATTGGTCCATTGAGTTTTAATTAATTATTAAAAAAGTATCATTTATTTGTTCAACACGGCAACACGGTTATAGTTATTACTTATTACGTTTTCGTTTTGCATTGGTGATTCATATTGTCGTTTTCAATAAGCGTGAGCGGTTCTCTTTTGCAGAAAACAAAATTTAATTGACAACAATTTATTCACAAATAACATCGTTAGTTTTCCTGACGCCATTCAATACCTTCGTAAAAAAAAAAAGTTTTCGGTTACTACTTCATTAAATACAGTAGTATAATAACACAGAAATGTAGTATCCTTGTAAGTATATAATATGTGTAGTATTATTGAAAAGACCGTTTCTTGAACATTAATTGATAGGTCGCACGACTCGTTTTTTTATAGTAAAGTGTTATTTTCATTCGATTTAACTTTGTAATTCGTTTAACGTATAAAATATTCATCTCGACTACAATGAGATAAGATTCTCTCTGTTTGGTCTTGTTCTACTGTGTTGCAGTCCATATTAAATTTCTTTATTTGGTTTTATCGCACAACAGTAGACACATCAGTGTCAATAAGTTGGAAATATAGAATATAAACTAAAAACGGTAGGCAATTTTTTTAGTCCTCGTTATAATATTTTCAATTAACCAGATTAAATTATATCAGAAAGGTCGATGATAACGAATTGGATCTATATAAAACAAATAGATTCCGAAAACATGGTGGATCGATATCTAGAAGTGACCATTCTGATTACATTTATTCGATGGTTGTATTTATATATATTTTTTTATTTTATATGACATGTAAGTTAGGCATCTCTGTAGTGCTAACATTTTAATAGTAGCAAAAAAAAAATCATAGCGATAACAAGAATTATGTTTCCACTTGTTTTTTTATGTTTTGCACTCTGTTTTAGCGGTGGAAAGTCATATTCTGAAAATATACACTTGTACCTAGGTATTTGTTTTTAAGTATGACAAATTGTAAAGTTAAATATTCTCATTAAATTGCATTAATCCCAGAACGTCCTACCCAGCCTCTCTTCCGGACTGTACTGAACTTTTTCTGTGTAATTTAGGTAATATATGTTTATAATAATACATACATTGTATATTAAGCGATAAAACAAAATCAAATACTAAAGTTTTGCCGTGAGTAAAAAATTGTTCAGACCTGGTTTCTGTTTTAGACACGTATATATGATATGTATAGTGCGTTGCATTTGTAAAAATTAACTTCGTTTTACGACCTAGTTTAATAATTATTTTGATTATCCCGATTAATTTGTATTTCTTAATATTTAAAAAACTAATATTACTGTACAGTATATACAGACTTAAATTCATACTTTTTTTTAGTACAAATCGATTAATTTTTTTCTAAACTATCTACCTCCTTTAAGCACGCTTGTGGCGTGAATAGAAAGAGTTATAAAAAAAAAAAAATTACTTATTTTTAAGTGTTTCATATTTGTTCATGAAGAATTTAACTAAATTTATAGTAAATGATAAACTTTTCAATATAGTTTAACACACATAGTACAATTAAATAAAAGTAAAAAATACATATTCAAATTAAAGTATTGCGTACAAAAAAATTAATAAAGAATATACTTGTTATTAATTTAAAGATATAAACTCTAAAACATTAATAATACTGGTTTATTTATTAGTAAATTATTTTTTGCAGAAAAATGATTCATAAAAAACAACAACCATTCAAAATAATTTTAGATACTTTTTAAATACTCAGGTAACTGGCGAAAAAAAATAATCTCAAATATATAAGGTTTTTTGAGTCGTTTAAAATTTAAATCGTTCGAATATATTGTAATAATTTAGATTACATACAATTATAAAATAGGTTTTTTTTTTATAAATATGTTTTGTGTTGTTTTCAGTGTATGTGTTATTTTAATTTACACGCACAAATGTTGATATAATACTCCATACTTTGGTAGTTTATTTGATAATTATTCCATATAATATATTAAATCTCAAGAACTGATAATTTTGGGTTAGTCGACATAATATAATTATTATGTTGAAAAAAAATAAATTCAAGGTATACCAAGTTTGACGCTTGTATAATTCGGCGTGAGTTTGAATTTTAGGGTATGCGTCTACAGTAAATTATTATTGAACTCCAGATAACCGGTAACCGCGCAAGGTACAGAGAACCGGCAGAGTTACTTTTTCTATTTGAAATATCACATATGTATATCTTATTACGGATTACCATAGTTAGTATTTCGGGTTAATTTTTTTTTCTTTTTGCCGTCGGATTTTTTTTTACTTGATATTGACTCAAATGAGGCAGTCGGCCCGTGCACGTGGCCATAATCCAGAGAAATGCTATTTATTTTATAATTCGTTGGCACTCACTTCGAGAAACCATTTACAGGCTGAATAGCTAATAAGGTTGGCAATAATATTATATTATAACAACACTGTAATAGCGTTGGGCTAGTGAGGTTGCGAACTCTATTCCCTTGTTGCAATAAATATTCTAATAAGCGCCAGTAGTACTATTTTAATGCTATAATATGTGTGTTAAAAACGAATTAAACGTTTTCCAGGCTTTAAACGTTGTTATACAAACGCCGACATTTTAAATCGATAACAACGATATGATTGTGTAAAGTGAATCATCTCCCTGAGTAATAACTTCAAAAATAATTGTACGTACGTATTCTATCGAACACATCAGCATCAATAATTGTTCTAATTATTTGTTGTGAAACATATTACATAAAGGAACCTACTTTTGCACAGTTAAATAAATAAAAATAATTTTGTTTAGTTTCAATCTGTGTAATTGTGTATCAACGATTACTATATTATAGTAGGGAATGTTTTCTAGAATGGTGTCGGTAGATTTTTTTTTTTGCTTTGGGAGAGAAGAGTTAAACTGAGCTTTTTTGAAAAATGAGTAGGTATAAGTGTTAGCCAGATGTAAAATAAAATATGTCATATTTTTTTAATTGTTCAGAATTATATCATTAATCTTACTTTAGAGTATTCCTGCTGACATTTATGTTCAATAAAATGCAGAATCGGCTCTAGAAACAAGTCCTGATTGAACCTGTGAACATAAATCACAATGTACTTAAATTACGTTGATTCGAATTTCGTGCGTTAGGATTGACATTATTAAACGAAACAGCTCGACGTGCAATTTATGTGTATTGTAAGACGAGAGTGATAAAAAATGGTTAAGTAAAAAATTAATGAGGTATTTGAATCGAGATAGGTACATCAACACTTAACAGCTCCTCATTACATTTTTTTTTTTAATTGGTCGTAGATACGAACCGTCAAGATTCATTTTTTGAGAAAAGCTGTTACTCGTTGTAAACTTGTGTAAAAATAAATAGTAAAATATTATCATTTTGTTTTTGTTTTAGATCATACGAAATCACAACGCACCATGATTGGGTTTGTCGGCGAAGCGCTTTTACTCGATCGGCGTTCGTTGTCATTGCACTCAAAACTTTATTGTGCTCAATTGAAATTCACGTCCGGCAACATCGATAAATGTCTCATATAGTAGTGACTAAAGAGAGCTGCCGAAGAATGGCCAAAGGTAGATTGGATAAATATTATAATAAATGATTGAACATTTGATGTTTTGGTTAAAGAAATATTGGAAAAAATAAAATGAAAGGTTTAGGGTAAATTTTCCCACTTGTAAGCCTTGACTGTATCATGGATGAAGCAAGAAAAGTAGGAAACTCGACTTCGTCATGAAGTACTCCAAATTGCAGTTATACATCTAATGAAAAAATACTTGCAGATAAAAAAAAACGTTAATGGTACACATGTAGGACCACACAAATTCGAATTTTCATACAAAACCGTTGTTCTAGCCTTATTAGTACTCATTTTAAATACATTTTCGAGTTATTTGTATACATTTTATAATATACGAAGAAAAAAATTACTACAAAACCTAATGAGGAAATCTGTAAAAAATAAATAACTTCGAACGGTTCGAAAAATTTTCATTAGAAATTTTTTTATTAGTAGAAGGACTTAAAAATAGTAGCATGTATGTTTTTTTTTGTTAAATTTGGATTGAAGTCCCACCCCAAGTAAGTATAGTTAGTTATTATTTTTAACGTTTTCTGTATTAATCATGTTGTTTTTATTATGTCAAACTGTCGTTTCGGTATCGATCTTAATAGTTATTTTTATAGTGTTCATTTTTCTTTTCTATTTGTTGTAACTATAAACACTATTAATTTCAAGGACTTTTGGCTATTGAGTACTGAATAATGAATAAATTACCAAAATACGTGTGCAAAGTATTTAACATTAATTTGTTGAACGGTGAAAACTATAAGAGTATAAAAACAATACTCAGTTCAGCAGAAGACGCCCAACGGTGAACATCTTTGAAATCCGTCTCACACATCACATCTCTGAGCAATTCATCTAACCGGAATTCTTTTTATTTTCTCTTTATCTCTTACAAAATAATAGTGGCCCTAGCGTTGGCCAGCCAAATCTCTAACCGTAACCATTTCTATATTCACTCGACACATCTCCATAATATTTGTATTTATTATATATTTCACATCCATCTACTACTTCCTTTGTCTACCTTTACCTCTACACCCTCTCAACATAATCAAACCATCTCAATCTGGTATCCATTTTATGTTGTTGTTAGCGCAACTCTCGAACTACCTCTTATATAGTCATTTTTTATAATTCTGTCTAACCTAATCACTCCATACATTCACTCAACATTCTCAATTTAGCTACTCAAATTTGATAAAATGTTGTTAGGACTCGCCTCCTCTTGAATAAAACGTCTCAAATACAGCACTATGTCGGAAGATAATTTAAATTTTGTTAAAAAAACCTCTAGTTGTTGAAATGTTAATTGTTGTTTCCAAAAAACATCTCAATACATTGAGTTTTCTATTTCCTAAGATACCGATTTGTGTTATTATTTTTGATAACGCGTTTCTATTGTTTCTTATTATTATACCGGTAAACAAGAGAAACATTAAAAATATTATACCGATATGAATTTACCAGAACAGTGCGAATCTTCGAAATTGTTTATCGCTTCATCATGGTTCGTCAAGTTTAAGGGTATTCATCTGAAACAGATTCCAATATTACAATATTTATAAGTTATTTATTCATAAGCCGCATTGAGTTAATCATGATGTATCTTATGTGTATGTACGTGTAGATGTGGCTCGGGCGCTTAGACAGAAAGTCGTCTCACTTTGCCGGAGGTTGGGTATTGGCGTGTGCTTGCGTACACTAGTATTGATATTCTGCCTGACATTTTTCTGGGTACAAATGCACATGTTCGACGTGTCCGACAATGATGCTCTGCAAATACTGACCAAGCCAGATGGTCTGCTTGATGCTAACGACTCCATGCTGCAACTGGTTCCACAGGTACTGTATAATCAGAATTGTGCAAATTCTTATTCGGATAAAACTTTATTCGAATAATTTGCTTACAATTTATTCGAATAAAAAATTGTCTTTTATTTTTATATATATTCTAACTGTAGAATATATTAGATTTATACATAATCATACTATCAAATATAATTGTTTGAAAAAAACACTTACAAACTATCTAAATAATATTTTTAAAAATTATTTGAATAATTAATTTTGAAATTGTTCGATAAATTAATATGACTGATAAAAGTTATTTGAATAATTCAAAATTCAATAGAAGAGATAATTTGTGTAGAACCTCTGCGGACATAAATTTAACTTGTTTTTTACAGAATTAAAGCACGCGTGGACATTCTTTTTATTACTAAGATCATTAAGTAATTAAATATTTTGTTTACAATTCGCCCAACAACAAACTCGATTCGAGTTCTATACTCTGCGCCACGAGAGAAGTAACCCGTTTCGCGCATCACGACTGACGGCCGCGACTGTTCCGAGGCCCCATTTCCCCCACTTTGTGCCATTCAGTGTCGCGCTGAGACGTGCATACAGCGCGAAACAAACGATATACAGAGTGATTGTACATAGAGTATATTATTTATTATACTTGTGAATGATTATATTATATTGTCATTTATACATTTTTTTTTTTTTTTTATATTCAAAATGTATTATATTTGTTGCTATTTCTTATTGTGTACGAAACTCGAAAGTTAGATAAATAACACCAAAGGAACTCAAGGAAGTGAACGAGATTACTGGTAGGATGTCACGCCTTTTTGGCTGAGCACTGTTGAGGGTTAAAGGACACTCGCATTCATAGTTGATTAATCTTCAGGGTACCCTAACGGGAAGGATACGGGGAGGTCTTGCGAGTGGCTGGTTGAGGACGATTACAATAACTAAATGTCGAAACCTGCTAGTTGCCACCTTCATTTGAAATTCGTCATAAAACAGTAATTAACATGTATCCGTTGATTGTTATACAAGGTTGTTGTCTGAACAATCATTCGGAAATCAACGAATGACTTTCCAGTTTAACACGTTTACTTCAAATTAGACCAGTAGACTGACAACTAAATATTATATCCGTTGCGCCAAATAAAATTCGTATGATAAGTTCTGATACGAATCAAAAGTTATTGAAGGGAAAACACTTTTATATTGGATTACTTTTTTTACAACATTCTTCTTTTTTCAGCGACTTCACAAGTTTCTGGTGTCGCCACCACAACGGGATCGACTTCACCAAGCTATACTGCCAGGAAACTCCAGTTTAGATCACTCGGTTCCGATCAGTCTCAATGCATCGGAGATCCGCCAGCTAATCGATCAATACAACGTCCGACAAACCGTGTTTAATGAGGAATTCTACGGGCCGTTGCAAAACGATTCTCTGGTCATTGTCATACAGGTATGCACACCAATTGGGCTAAATACCATTGATCATTAAATCTTAACGTTTATACTATTTCAAATACACTAAAAAACGGGCGCATACAAATTGCCTCCGAAAAACTACGAATTGCTTCCTTTTCTTGTCGTAACTTTTAGGGTCACAAACAGGTAGTCAATATGTTTCATCCGAGTTGCCTCACAAGAATTAAAAAGAAGAAAGAAAAAGTGTTATTAATAATTTTTTTTTTTTTATAATAATAGTATTTTATGTTGTAATATTTTTAACCCAACAAAAGTTGACAAAGTAACCACGTTTGACAGCTGTTGGCGTAGTTGTTATCTAAGGGTATTAAAGAATGTATGTGGGATCATAATTATAAAGTTCTACCACATCAAGTACTATATAAACAAATCATGAAGAATACAATTTTTAAAAAAGTATTTTGAAGGCCGGCTATAACGATACATAGAGAGTTAAAAGAAAAACATATTAATACTATAATATAAATGATGTATACTTTTTATCTAGCTTAAAAAGAGTCGTTGAGAGGGATTCGGATATCCTTGGGAGGCAACTCGGATGAAAAATATTTAGTAAATGCACGGGCGGCAACTAGTATTTTTTTTGGCCCAGAATGTTACGATAAGAAATAGAGGTCGCCGAAGAAATTTCGAATAGTATTTCGGAGACAACTAGTACATCATTTTGACAACTACCTGGGGATGGGAGGCAACTAGTATGCACCGAAAAAAACACTTTGGATTTAGTTAACATAATACAAAAGTTTATCAAAAGGACGCCATAACGGATAACCATTATTCACTATGATTTATGAAGTATAAGTATGTAGCACGTATTAAAACTTGTCGTGAAGCTAAAATGTGTGTCTCGTATTACCATAAACTAAGGTAAATCCGTACATATTATTTCATCTTCTTTCGAACTATTAAAATGCGGTGGTTTAGCGCATTTCAGTTGTTGCAATTTTCTGAGAAACTGAACAAAAATCAACCAAACAAAATATAAATAAAGTCGTGAACTGTGTACATTTTTATGTGTTTCCCCCTAAAGCATTTGTTTCTTTCAAAAGTACGTTTTCCGACGTATGTTTTACACATAAAAAAAAGTAGTATGACAAGTAATAACATTTTTAACTATTGTTTATCTCAGGATAATGACAACCCCTTGTTTTAACGTTATGCCACAAGCAATTTACATATCTCGCGGTTATTCACACTTGAATTGATTGACTGGTCTGCCAGTCTAGAGAAGACTAAATTTTTTGAAGTTTATTACACATTTTATAGGTACACACCAGATCTATTTTCAGTCCATTTTTCTGATCTAAAATCCTAAAATATGTGTAATGAAAAAAAGTTTCATCCCTTTTCGGTGAGATTGGGTGTTTAGTTGAAAATATTTGTTTGCGTTTTTAAGTGCAGGTTGTTAGGGTTATAGATGGAGGGGGGGGCTATTTCTCACATTACTTGCCCGTGAGTTTGGTTTTTGGACTTAGGTCTAATTAATAATGGTTTTTGCCTACGACACAGGTTCACACTCGCATCATGTACCTGCGGCACACCATAGTGAGCTTGGCCCAGGCTCAGGGCATCGAGAACGTCTTGTTGATATTCAGCCACGACCATTACGACGAGCAAATCAACGAGCTCATACGAATGATAGACTTCTGCAAGACAATGCAGATATTTTATCCGTATTCCATTCAAACGCACCCCAACACTTTTCCCGGCGAATCGCCCGAAGACTGTCCGCGGGACATACTGAAAAGCGAGTGAGTGCAAGCAAAATCCTCTTGTCGTTTGTGTCACATTTGATATAGCTTTGTTCACAATGGCGTATGCTTCATGTAACTAATTAAATAAAAATTGAATTTAAATTTAAAAATTGACCAATTCCACAGCGCCATCAAGCGGAATTGCGTCAACGCCATGCATCCGGACCAGTACGGCCATTACCGGGAAGCCAAGTTCACCCAAACGAAACACCACTGGTGGTGGAAAGCCAACAGGGTGTTCAAAGAATTGGATATCCTCAGCAATTACTCGGGTGCGTATACTTAAAGCGACTTATAACCTATTTTTATCATGAGTAGTAGTTCAAAGCCGTCATGGCCATGTATTTTATAATATCAACGTTTTCATTTGTTTACTACGAATACAGGACCGGTTTTGTTTTTGGAAGACGATCACTTTGTCGCCGAAGATTTCATATACATGTTGAAGCTGATGGAACGAACGGCCAGCGTGGTATGCCCGCAGTGTAGTATCCTTTCGTTGGGCACATACTTGAAGACTTACAATTTTTACGGCGAAGCAAAGGTAAGCGATGGACGTAATATCGACTAATAAATCATTAATATTGTAATAATAATTTTATTATCTAATATAACATACTTAGTTTACTGAGAACACTGTGCACCGTAATTTACACGTTACCTTGTAACACATAAAAGTGACGGGTTTAATTATAATTTTTTAATTGTATATTGTTTACATGTGCAATTTTTTTTAACGATTGTTATTAATCGATGGATTTTTTAAAATATGTTTTATCACTGCTGACACGGATTGGGTTTAAAACAAAAACCTAAAATTAAAAAAAAAAAAAAAGAAGGACATTTTAAAGGTTATACGCCGGCAACAGATATTCGCTGCAGAACTCACACCGCCATCTTGGAGTTTTAAAATTGTTCCTTCCTTTACACATTACAATAAGGTTATTTGGTTTATTGTATTAAGCTATCTTATTGCTTTGTTGTTTTGCATGTCGTTTGACGTTGATAGCTGTTTTTTACATAAAATATTTTATTTTTAGCTTAGACCTTAGTACTATGAACTTTTAATAGCTGTCAATAAAATACATGTCTCTTACGAACCAACTCGACTATGTTCTTTTTTTTGTGAAATCATAAAAACATCAAAGTACGTGTATCGGTCGGAGCGGTTAATAGTCAAAACTAACAATAAGTGGAAATTATTTTAATATGGACCTACACATAATATTATCAACTGTATATTCGTCGTTGAACTTTGCTGTACCCAAACGGGTTGTCTAGGCACAGTTGATAAATAGTTTGGAAGAAGTTAAAACATGCTTTTGTTTTATTTTTTTTCGCTAATTCCGATTGCATTTATATAGATTTATAGATAACCATTTTCTCCACTATTTCGTTCTACTCATTTATTTATAAATAATATCTTTATTGTTTTATTAGGTTGTATACCGGGGTCTCTTCTCGATAATACTAATTATCAACATTAAGACGCATGTCTATTGCTAACTTTGTTCATCTAGTTTTATCTAAGTATAACACCTTGACGGTTGACCTGCCTAATCTACTATTATTATATAAATATTTTTTAACCCAGTATTTAAACAGGTGTATTAGAAACGGCTTGTATGATTCTTAGTAGAGACTAGAGTTTCATCTGATGATAAGGGCACAAACTTTAATGCAAAGTACATTTCTTCTCTAACGGCCAATGAACAGCTCAGTATAAAAAAAATAGTTTTAAAACGTGGAGATTGATAATTCTAAACTTATTGCTTATTATTGTTAGTTAATGCATTCTGAGTTAATATTTTATATTTTAGTTATGTTTTTTTAAATCAAATTACACTTCCTGTAGAATCTGCCTTCTCTCACTTTCTAGACATTTTAATTTTTACATTGTTTTAGGTCATTTTCTTAAAACATTATTATTTGACTCCTAAGGGTCATAAATTCATTTTTAAAATTGTTTTTTTGAGTTTTTTTGGAGCATTTCAATCTGTGTTTGATGATTCGCATTTTGACCAACCTTTAAGTATATCTACTGAGTATATCCTTTAACTATATAGACGGGTGTTAATGACATTTACAGGTTTCAAATGTCAACGTAAAATAATCAATAAGGAAACTCGAAGCTAGTTAGGCAATAATAGGTAGGCAATAAAAGCTTAATAAAACAATATGAATAATTATTAACCAACACCTATAAAAAATTTATATCGTGTTTTTTATGGCTGAGAATTTTTATGTTTTGTTTTCCAAGAATAATATACCGATTTCTCTAGTATTAACTTTTTATTTGTTTTCGTGGGATTTTATCTTTTAAGTCTAGCGTATGTAAATTTCTTTTTTTGTTTTATGTATAAATGCAAACACTTTTTAATGAATTCTTATCGTCCGCAAATTTCCACATTTATATAGGTAATATCAATTGTCCACGGTCCATCTATATATTGTAGCGCTGGACCAGTAGTTCCATTGTCATAAAAATCGACAAAGTAAATGGTACACTTTAAAACGAATATCATTACTTATAATTTTTTAACGAGTCTGATTAAAATATAGTAGAAGTGCCTGTGATTAAACAGTAGGTACAGTACAGTACAGTTTGTTGTTGAATAATTATTTTTGGTAGAAAATCGCTTTTGTGTAAGTCGCATTATTTTAAGTAGGTATTTATTTCACTGTTTTTTTATTTATGATATTTTACTATACTTGTAATTTTTTATATGTTTGTACTTACAATTTGAATTAGTTATTTATGTATGTACTGTTTTTTCCTCATATTTAAACCTAGTAATTATTTCATTTAAATAACAGTTATTTAAAAAACAATTTTATTTATTGTATAAAATAATTTTTTATTTAATGTTTATTGTTCAAATAATAAATAGTTTAAAATAATTAATAGATGATTTATTTGAAATTGGAAATGTATTTAAATAATTTTTTATTTGCGTTTTTTTTTAAATGAAAATGTATATTATTTGAGTTTTTATTTTTTATTTTTAGTAATTACTGATTATTTAATTTAATGCCCAGATTTGTTCATAGTTTAGTTTTGTTTGAGTAGTTATATTTTTTCTTTATAATTAGTTTATTATGCTTAAACAAATTGACTTTATTGGAAATAATTTAATAATGTTTGAATTTAACAGTATATAATTTATTACGCAGGCTGAAATTTCACAATGGATCAGCAGCAAGCACAACATGGGCATGGCTTACAACAGGACCGTTTGGGAACAAATAGTCAATTGTGCCGATACGTTCTGCAACTACGACGATTACAATTGGGACTGGAGTCTGCAAAGCGTGTCCAACAACTGTCTGAGTCACGAATTCAAGACGTTAGTACTGAAAGCGCCCAGAGTCTTTCATATTGGCGAATGGTATGGTTGTTGTTTTATCTTGGAACGAAAAAAAATAGCAAAATGTGTGATTATTTTTTTTCAGCGGAGTACATCATAAAAAGAGTTGTTTCGACATGGCTTTAATTGTCAAAGTGCAAAAGCTGCTCAATTCGGTGACCAAATATTTATTTCCAAAAAAATTGGAAGTATCGTATGGTCCAGTCAAGAAAAAGGTGCTGCGTAAAGGAAACGGCGGTTGGGGTGACGTGCGCGATCACAAATTGTGTTTACGCCTGGTGAACCGCATAACTTAAAATTAAAATACTTACTTCACCCGCTTTTGAAGTTTTAAGACCAAGTTCCTATACATTGCTGTTAGACCTGTTTGGCCCCCTAACGGTCTAAATCATTTTAATTGTATTTTTTTTTTTTAGATTTAAATTTTTAAATAATATAGTGATGCTATAATCACGCTCAAGTGTTCTTTTTTGAGTATGGTTAGTAGTGGGCTTTATTTTAAGACTATGTTATTATTATTATTACTACTATTGTACAAAGCTAACTTAAATCCTATACTATTGTATAATTGAGATAATTTAAAAAAATCATTGAGATTTCTATCATAAAGAACTATAATAATATATTAATTAGTTATGACTTATGAGATAACAATTTTATATTATATCTTTAAAATCAATCTCTAGTCCTGTTGAAATCAACAATAACAACTCTAACAAGAGTTGTTATATTAGCTATGTTTGTATTCCAAACATTTTTATTAGTCACTAGCTTAAGTTTATCCATTTGTTTAAGAAAAAATAGTGTTAAATCATTTTAATTAATATCAATGCTTGTGTATTTGTATTCCATTAAACCAAAATATTATGCTGTCTTTGTAACAATCACAAAGAATAAAATTGTAATTATTTAGCACTTAAATAGACTTTAGTTATAAACTATTATAATAATATACTATTGGTGTTAATTTTAACAAGTTTTTGTTCACATAAAAATACCAACTACCGAATAAATATCAGTAGACAAATTATGGTGTTTGAGTTGTTTTGGACATTTTTTTAAAAGTATTCTTTTCTGATAAAAATTTCATTTGATTCCCATTTATGCTATTTTACTAATTTCTTTTTAATTGTCATAAAAAAGTGATACTATTAAATTAATAAAAAAAATGACATTATTTTCATTGGTCATTATCAACAATTTGTTTGTTTGAATTAATACTAAAAATTTGAGTAAATTTTAATTTAAAATCACTTTTGATGCTAAAATTGTTATTGTGTCTGTTAAATTCTCTCTTTCTTTTTTTTAACTCAAATCTTAACAAATAGAATAACATGATCTTACAGCGTTTTAAATTGTATGTACAATTAATATTGAAATTATAATGTTGCATATAATTTGTTATGGTAAAATATAATAGAAGTATGGTAACTTTTAATTTAAAACTGTAATATTAAACTGTAATGTAAGTTGAGTGAGGTGTGCTTAAAAAATTGTTAGACATAACCAAAATATTGTTAAACACCTTCAATTTAAAATTATTGAGTCGTATAATTATCAACACCGAAATAAAAATTAATAATATATTTTTGTGCGATATTTAAGTTATATTATTTTTTATCTTTAAGTCTCTTTAAGTTTAATTTTCTTTGGTGATATTATATTATAGTATATTTTATTTATAATAAAGATCCCCGATGTTTCCATTCGAGATATACTTATAATTTTTTAGTAACGAAGTAAAGAGGTACATTTTCTTTTACGTAAAATTAGTGTACTAAGTTAACATTTTTTAAATTATATTTATTGTTATTTTTGCATAATCAAAATTTAAAAAAAAGAGTTCTTATGGTAACTAATGTGTTTTTTGTACTCTTTATTATATTTTTAATTTAATATCGGGATTTAATCCATTAGACTTACTATTAGTCAAATATAATACATACACAACTCCCTCGATACAGTGCCATAAATTATATAGTGCTTTGCGACTGTAAGCGACTTAAGTTAAACAGTCAAGTAAAAAAAAATATGTATTTATAATTATTTATATATTAGTGCTAAGTAGCTATGAGATTGCTAACTGAATATTTTTTTTTAATTTCATGTTTTGAAATGTATCAATACATATTATATTATTTTGAATGTAAGTGTGATAATATCAAATAAGCTTTGTATAAGGAAATAATAAATAATATGAGTATTTTTATCAACTTTTTTTTTTTTCCATTTCAATAGTTTTTTTTTCTTCAAAATTTAAAAATTGTTAAGCACAATACTATATTTTTTGTTTGAATACGTTTGACTTACCTCATTGAGGTATTACAATTCATTTTTTTTAAATAACAATCAAGTTTATTTTATTTCCATATAGTCTACTAAAATATACCGAAAAATTATTTGTAGTTATTTAACTTGAAAAAGATGTTCAATCGGCAAAGAAAAAACAGGTATATACTAACCAGGTAATTTAATATTAAATATGTTTTGTAAATAATTGGTTTTTTTTTCTTATGGTGTAAATGTCCGGGAGTATGCCTGAAGGCCTAATTCGGATGCTTGCTTTGCAGAATGGGCTAATCACCCGTAGGTTTCTGCCAAGTTTTTGGTGGAGGGATGTCAGTATCTTTCCCTAGACAGTTGCCTGCCCAGAGAGAGATGCCGCCTGCGGCTGGGTTTGAACCGGTGGCTGTGGGGTCATTGCAACGGCTGCCTTAGTCCACTCGGCCACTCTGTCCTATACCTAAAACAATTATACATGCATTTGTCCTAATGACTGCATAATGAAATCTATCAGATGCTTGTCATGGGTCAGATAAGAAAAAAACTAACTCGATCATGCTAACATACAATATGTAATAAATAATATAAATATATTAAAAAATTAATTAATTTACAATATGGTTTTGAGATTACAAATTTTAGCAATATAAAATATTTGATTTCTATATTACTTTTAAATCATAAATAAAGACAAGAAATATTTTATTTAGTACAAAAGAATAAAAAAAATTATATTTCAGGAACTATTTCCTGTGCCCAAAGGCATAAAAGTCGTATAGGATACACCCATAGAGGCGATTAAAACATAATAACTGGTATGGACTAAGTGCATAGTAATACAATTTTTTTTATCAAACATGCAAATTCATAGTGTATTAAAATCAGTTTCTACTAGATTAAATTATAAAATGTCAATACTGTGTTATTAAGTAATAATAATTTACTTAAACTAATATCACTAAGTAGTTGAGTATGAGCTAATCTTAACATCATTTAGTTTGGTCAACTATAGATAAAAAAGTGTTCGCTAGGGGCTATACTTTATGAAAACTTTTCATTCTTCTTAGTTACTGTAAGCAGCAATTGTTTTTATCACAGACAAAGTTTTTTGGTAAACAAATGACAACCTAAAAAAAAAAAAATATTATTAATGTTAAGTAAACTTTTAAACAACATTAAAAGTTTTAAAAAAATACCCATTATGTTATTATTATTTTTATTTCCAGAAACTTGGCTAAAACACATTTCGTCAAAAGACAGTTAATCCTAAATAATTCATTAAAATTCTATTTCTCAAAAATAATAATAAAAGTTTTTCAGCCGAGTCTGCAACCACGAAAGAGCATTTTCATGTCTCGTTGAAGTACCAAATAAGTATAGATTAGTTGTGGAATTATAATTATGGTGCTTCCAGTTACAGCATAAGGCCAAGGAGATTAAAAAATTATGTACAATCAAGTTTCTGGCTAAAATTGTAGTGTTTATTATCTGGCCAAAAGTAACTTAACATAGAGAATTAAACTGTTTTGCATTTATTATTTAGTTCTAATTTTAACGTTGAACGTACAACATATCTCTTATCTACTATATCTTACCCCTCTCCCCAACCCACTATCACCCGTCCCTATCACTCACCCCTATCTCCCACTCTATCCCTACTCCCTAATCTCTCACCCCTATCTCCCCCCTCAATATCCCTCCCTATCACTCACCCCTATCTCTCACCCTTATCTCCCACCCCTATCTCCTGTTCCCAACCCCATTCCCACCCCCACCCCTTATCTCCTACCCCTATTTCCACCTCCAACCCATCTCCGTGTGGTAACGCTTTTTTTTTCGGTTATTTGCCATAGCTAATTCCACCACTTTCCCATTCCCACCTCATCTTCAACCCCATTTATTTTTTGGTAACGCTTTTTAGGTAACGCTTTATAGGTAATGCTTTTTTCGTTACGCTTTTTTGGCTATGTGCCAGAGCTAAGACATGAAAATGTCAATTTGATATGTATGAAGGGTAAATTTTACCGCTCAATTTTATATGCTCAATTCAACAATTTTATGATTATAATTGTGAGGCACTTATAAAAATCTAGCTTTCGTTATATTATTTGTTTGATTTCAAACAAAAATAAACATATTCAATTGTATGTAAAAAATAAAATCTGATTTGTTTATGTATGCAACTCCAAAATATAATATAAAAATATCGTAATCAGTGTTGTAAAATAGTTATTGAAATAATTATTTAAAAACTAACTTAGATTCGGCTTTGCAGATAGACATGTGGTTCAACGGCAACTCATAAACCTCTCCAACTGAAGGGTCTAAGTAATAAATAATTTTAAAAAAATTAACTCATAATTAACATTTAAATATTAGGTAAAAATTATGTATTATTATAGTCTTACCGGCTGCTTGAACAGGAACACACAAAATCGGTACTTTCAAAGCAGTGAACTCTGTTGGAAGACTTTCGGCAAAAGTCACTATTTTCATTGGGTTTTCTTTTAAGCATTTAAGAAATTCGTCATGAAGAGACACTAATTTTGGCGAATCTAAACAAATCAATATTTTTTTTTATTTAGATCCATTTTTAAACTAAGTGGGTTCTCATTATTGTTAATATTTAACCAACCAGTTCTAAGTTCATCTACTTCGACTGATGGCCACAAAAAAAATCTATATGCAGTGTTGAGAGTGGCCAACGGAGAACCGTGATGAGGAGTGCTAAAAAAAAATACTGAACGTGTCTTCTCAAAAAGTTTTCTCACATTTGGGTCAGTACTGTTACGTGCTACACAAATTTCATAAAATTAATTTTACAGATTAATAATAAGTAATGGTGACAAATTTTTTTTCTGTTAAAATTAATTCTATGTTACTTTACTAAAATTTGTAAAAATAATCTTTGTTTGTACTGACTAATAAAAATGTATTGTTATTGTAATTTTTAAACTAATTTGTACCTCAAATGTACAACCTGTTAATGTAGCCAGTAGTTATTATTTTTGCACATATCACAAATGTGTTTGACAAATTATTTTGTTTACATTAATGCGATCGGCCTATTTCACATTTTATGCATATGGTAGGCCCATATTATGCATAGATGGGAATGTTATGCTTAAGTAATGTATAAAAACGTGTAGAAACGTGTGTGTCAAACAGGCCCTTAGAATATCAAATAAATTTACCCGCAACCAACATGCTTTTTACGAGGAGTCCACCCATAGAATGTGCAAGAAATATCACTGGCCTGTCTCCAATACCAATCGCTAACAGTTGATTCATTAATTTTTCAGTTCGTCCTTCAAGCGTTCGCTGTCTAACAAATAAATAGAGTTATAAAACATATGCATATTATATAATAGTATAACAAATTTGAATACACAAAGAGTAACTCATACTTTCTTAATTTTAAAGGACATGAAGGCAACCATTCGGATAAAGTCGTACTATAGTCAACACCAACTACACGAAGACCGTCCTGGTCTGTGGGTAACCAGTCAGACGGCCAACACTGACTGTACCCTTCACTCGAAGCATTTTTTCGTACTGTCGTTAAAGATCTATACATAAATAATGATTCAAAATAATAGTTATAGTATTATAATAAAAATAATTTACCCGTCTAATGTGTAGGGTTCGTTTCCTTTAATACTGTCATTAATAGGCAAATCGTTCATTACGAATTCAAAACCATTACCAATTTCGTCCCATTCTCGATCTTTCACTTCAGTATAATTTTCTAAATAATCTTGTATATCTTCACCAATGGACTTTTTTAATGAAGTATACGATCTTGGAGTTTCAGATTTATTAATATCTAAACCGAATATTGGATCAATGTAGTTTTTATAATATCAATATTGTTTAAAGTGCATACCAAAAATCCCAAGAGGTTTGTTGATGTATTGATCTTTTTCACGCCAAGAGAAACTAACACCACCCAATAGACCGTGAACGAGGACAACATCGATTTTGGCATCTTGTTGGCTTCGGTTTTTAGGGTACAACAAAACTGTGTGTTTGCCATAGAGGTTATTACCATTAACGGGATCTTTAGTATCTAAATTTAATAGTGTTCTGTTGGCCCACGATTGAATTCTAAAGTCGTGGTGATTTTTCCAATCAAACAGTACACTGATCCATCCTAAAATTATCAATTATAAAATTCAATACACAACTTACATAGTCAATGATATTAAAAAGTACCAGTAAGGAAGATATCTTGGCAAAGATTTGAATATAAAGAGGCAGCCGATAATAGTTGACTGATCTCTTCAGCTATATTTTGATCGTCATTTAATAGTTGATAAATTGCCATTAAAATAAGTAAGCCTCCTTGTTTTACCATATCTGTAAGAAATATAATTTAATGAGTACAATGATTAATCGAAAACTTCCTATTAGTTTTGTTATTGATTATAAATATTATAGATGGCGCAGTGAGACAAATTTTAGTTTTGTACGCCGACACGGGACGAGCACAAGTAGTATCTTTTCCATTGTCCCATGTCGGTGTATAGAACTGAAATTTGTCTTGATGGGCCATACATAATATTTATAATCAATGGTTTTACATAAAAAATATTATGTTGTACTACGAAAGCCGTCAAAAGCTTACAGATGTCAGAAAATAACAAACCTGTTACATTTTTTTCATTACTACAATGATGACGTAATGCACTAAGACATAAATGAAATATATTATCATTGTCTACATGCATGCTTCTAAAATCGGGTGGCACGTCTTCTGGATGAAAATACTCATGTGTATGATCCTAAATATAAAATTAAGTCTTGATATGATACTTTTGAAAACATTATTTTACAGTCAAACCGGCCAACTTGGGGCATTATGGGTAATTTGAGTAATTATTGATATATTATTTCACCCACATGCCCCAAATTACCTATAATTACCCAATAAATTAGCTAGTTTGACGGTACTTACTTTAAATGCAAAAGCAACAAAAAAAGACAGACATTTGTGCTCACTCATTCCGTTTAGTTTAATCAACAATTCACGCAATTTACTCAACGTTTCCTAAATTATTTAAACAAGTGTTAATAGTTTAAACCAGAACTATGTACGTACAACTCTTACGTTTTTAGTCCAACGAGATTTTCGAGGCGGTAAAAAAAAACTGCGGTGTACATTATTAGTCCTAGCAAAACCAACCATAGTATGAGCTTTGCTCATCTGCGCTATGTATTGACAATCAGCATCTATAAATAACATTTTTAGTTCGAACATTATTAATGCGTGTACTTAGGTTTTATTTTTAATACCTTTCAAATAAGCCATTGTAGCTAGACGGTGAGTGGCCGCTAAAGAAATTTTTGAATTATTACAATTGTTGCACAATTCCAATAGTTTCACAGCTTTTTTGAACTTTATTTTGTTCCATATCTGGAAAAAATATACAAGTGGATTTGTTGGTTGCAGTAGACCGTTACTGTCGATGATCCGGTATTCATCAAGATCTAAACAAGAGTTCAAATAAACACCCTAGCAAAAGTGAAATGTAAATAATTTAATTTTGATGCACCTCACCTGTAAACAGAGCCTTATCCAAGAAAATATACTCTGGGGTATTGTGGCTGTTCATCAAGAAGGTATCTTTTTGAACAATGTTTCGTACAGAGTAAACCGTCTGATGGATTTGGTATCCGAACCATCCTAAGCTACCGGCTACCGTGCACAGAGCAACAGACTCGGCAAACAAGTAAAATCGAGTATGTTTATCGGAAATATAAGCGGGTAAGTGAATAAGAGCTTTTTGAACATTTCCGACCGGCACCAATTTGTACATTGTAATTGTTTGATCGACAACCGTTTTGAAAAAGTGATCAGCCGATCCGTCATCATTGTAAGTGTATATCACATCATACCATAAAATGTCGTACGATCCAACGTATTTCTTTTATTTTGAACAACAATAACAACTAAAAATGTGATAAAGGTATTTCGCGTAGATGATTATGTTTAGACGTATCGTTCATTATCATCATGAGAGTTACTCTATGGGTTATTACGTGTTTGTTGTGATAAGAACTGATAAGGAATTTGACTACTCACTGTGGTACCGATCAGCCGCTGTGTCCAATGACGATTGAGTATTGACATAAGCATCGACTATTGAATCACAAATATTCAACAATTCAGTTTAACGTCATTGTTTTAACATCATGTTTAACTATTATTATAAATAATTATTGAAATATTATTAAACTATTAAAAAAGTGTTGTTATCCGGTTAGTGTGTCATCCATAAACCCTACGTTTTCGTATTTAAAACACAAAATAGGTAAACAACCTAAAGTTGTGTGAATGTGTGTGTGTAAACTTCCTCACTTCCTTCTCTCTTATTAAGTTCATCACCTAAATTCCACGCTATCTACTCTGTTTCCTCCCCACTTGGAAATGTCTTCATTCAATAGCCTTTCAAAGCATTATAACTTGTATAAAATTCTTACCTTAATAATTAATATATATAACAAATCAGGAGTAAAAGTAATTTAGAACAAATTTTAAAGAAAAAAAACTATTTTACCAATACTAACAAGTATGTACTAATTACAATAAAATAATTTAATTTTCACTTAACATCAGATAGAATTTAAATGAAATATTTTCATAATGCTTAAGAGGACGCTACACCACCCATTCCTAAGGAGTAAAGTATAGTTAATTTTTCGCCAAATCTTAATTTATAACTTGAACTGAACTATTGTGTATACTTTTTAGTATAGAAATGAGGATTCTTTATTGATTGACATTTTTTTGTCAAACTATCGCAGTAATTTCTTTAGGATAATTAGTTTTTTCGCATCAAAACTTCTTTGTGCGAGATAAGTATGACGTGAGGCCAGTATTAAAAGTAGATTAACCAATTTTTCACAATATATAGAGAATAACTTTATCTATGCGGCAGCGTTTTTTTTTTTTTTTTGATATCTATACTTAATATGTTTGAAAAGTTAATGAATCATTATGAATGGATAGTTTTGATTCTGTTTAAGTTATCAAAAAACTAAAAACGCTACGGCATAGAAAAAGTTGTTCTCTATCCAATGTAAAAACTGTATACGGTTACTGTAAATACCACTCAAACATACTTGTCCCCTGCAAAACGATTTTTCATGGATAAATTACGGGTGTTGGATAGATCGTAGATGTTTATATTTAAGTTTTATTTTTTTCTTATTGTATATTAAGTCTTATAAATTGCTTTGATGGTTTGTGTTGTACATTTTTTTGGTAAATCGTCATTTGTTTGCTATTTTGATATAATAGTGGAAACTGTATCAAAGCTGTCGTTGCAATTTGATTCGTCAGTTAGGTTTAGGACTAACCTTAGGTATACAATTTTTTAGTTCTCACTTCTTTGAATAGATTTAAAAAAAGTGTGTATTGATGTATATTTTATATAATATGATGAATGGGAGGTGTTTAGAATAAATTATATTTGATTTACAAAAATCGTGATCAACTTTCTCGCAATAGCTCTTTCCGTCATTTCAAAAGACATAGACTATCCCTATCATATCACTATTTAGCTGTAGAAAATAATGATTACAGTTAACTACTAAACAATGACACGTGGTGTCTAAAAAGGTATTTTTGTAGTATTTTAATTATTACCATTTATATTTTAGATTAATAACAATAATATAATAGTTTAGAACCCTTAGAACATTTTCTAATACACGCTTGTTAAATACCTAGTAAAATACAATTAAAATATATAAAGAATAAGAGATAATCGATATTAAATTCAGTAGAAGTACTATGAACGGGTAGTGTCTTTGATAGGTAGTGTCCTAATATATTTTCAATATTAAAACAATGAAAATATAAAATATTCATTATAATTGTCTTTGTATTGTTTTTATTTCATTCAATAATTACTCGAGGAGTTTTTTTTTTAAATTTAAAAAGGCATAATTTTGTTCTTGAGTAGCTAATTGTATTATAGTTATTAAATAGTTATAACCGTGAATTGTGGGTTTATTATAAAAAAAAAAACAAGCGCCAAAAAGGCGCAAAAAAAATCGTTGAACAAAATCCTATGGGAATCCTAAAAGTTTCCGAAAGCAATTTTCTTAAACAGAATTATGTTAACAAAAACTTTTAATGTCTACAAAACCGCAACAGTAGTTTTCAATTCGCTTACCTACGTCGGGTATTATTAATTGGACCAGTTTTTAATTTTAAAGAGTTTTTCATTAGGTAGATTTCAAAATATAGACGTTGCTATTTTGTGATATATATAGCTATGTATTAAAATGTTTGTAAATTAGTATAATATGCCTATGATTAGGTACTCGTTATCACTTTAATATTTTCTGATAGCATAAGAAAACAACTAACTTAACCCAGCTAAATAATTAATCAAAAAATACAATAAATAATAGTCTATTTTTTTGCTGACGTGTTAATATTATTACCATGGTAATCTGTTTTTTAAATCTAAGTACGACCTTTGGCGGAAAAGGGACATGTTGATAACGATCGTGGGTCATTTGGCGGAAATCTACAACGGTTCTATCTCGGTCCTTTGTGTTTTTTTAGACTAAGTTAAATGACCTGATCTAGTTAACGGGTTTGAAAAAAAGTCATATTCTACCTTGCGATCTAGCTCTTTCTGTTTCCTTTTAATATCCCATTTAAGAAATTCTTATTTTCTCATTGTAAGACTCGTTTACAGTACTCTTGCTAGCTACTTCATACATTTTGGACTTAAAATATTTTTTTCGGGCCACTCTTCGTTCCACAATTGCTTTATTTAAATATCATTATACTATTTATTATTTTCATTTTTCAACTTTCCTTTGCCATAAGTTCCCAAATTCCGCGCCTTCTTTAATTTTTTTATTAGCCATTGTTTGATTGTTTTCCATCGTTCCTATTTTCATTTAAGTCCTGTCTATCAAGGCTCCTTAAAAGATTAATAATTTCTGTCGCTTTGTCTCTATATCCGTCAGTGCTTCTAAGCTTATAATAGCTCTTTAGTTTTCTGTATCTTTTTGTGGCCTTGTAATTTTAGTTTGAATGTTGATGTAAGAAGAAAATAGTCTGAATCACAGTCCACCCCTCTATACCTTCTTATATCCGTTAAGCATGACCAGAACTTTTTAGTTTTTTTGATTAATCACATGGTCCATTGGTTGACCGTTTTGCCATCCGGTGATTTCCAAGTCACTATGGATCATTTTATGAAGGAATGCCGTACTACTGATTCAATATTTTTTGATGATACAAAAGATATGACCCTCAATTCATTTTTATTACTAATACCGTAAACGCTTTCTTTACCTACCACTAGTCGATATTGATTTTCTTTTCCACACATCGCATTTAGTCACCCAGCACTTATTACATCAGATTTCGTAGTAATTTATCATAGATGCTATCGAGGTATTTATACAAATGATCTTTAATGCTGTCTTCACTTACTTTGTAGACATATTATGATATTTAAAAGAGTGGAGTTCTTAGTTTACATAAATAAAAATTGGAAAAATTATAAAACATCAGTTTAATTACATACGTTGAAAAATTAATTTAAAATATTGACCTACTTAAACCGTTCTATTTATATATAATAATCTTCAAATTCTTAAAATTAGAATCATTATTGCGAGACTTTTATCGTTGGTCATTGTTGATATATTTAACAGTTAATTTTTATTAATTTTCTGAAAGCAAGTTTACTTCAACGAAAAAGTACACAAAATACTAATAACACTATATATATTGTTTTAGCTTTAAGTTAAGATTCTGCGAACAATTTCCTTTACCGAATCATTTAATAAATAATAAAGCTACATTAAACCAAATTGAGTTTTAAATACCTATTGATTTATTTTTCTCAAGGGTATAAGTGTACCGTTTTATTAGCGGTCAGTAAAAGTTATTAATTTGTTTAATTGCCGGAGCAATTTATCCTGGCCGTTATCTAGGTATTTTCTTTTATAATGTTTCTAACACGGAAATTTATCCGGCACCACTCATTTGTATACAGTTTTTTCTGTTTTTTTATCTGATCTTTGATAGTCAAAAGAATCAAACCTCTGTAGATTTTCGTTTACACTTGAGATATTTTCATATAGTTGACCGTAGAGCCGTAGGCCCACCATGGACTTGCCTCTCTGTTTTCTATTTTAATAATTATTTTGTATTATTAAAATGCGGATGTATCGATTTATTTTGTTCACAGTGATTTTCTTTTTTTTTCTTTTTCTTTTATTGAAATATCAGCATAAACTATTTATTTCTAAAATTACGGAAGTTAAATTAAATTATGTAGCTTAAAATTAATATAAACAAACTAGACGGCATATATAACAATGGCAAGCAACTTTAAATTAATTATATACAGCGATCATAAAGCAAGGCCGGACTCATCAATGAAAAGAAGAACATATTTAATGATGGGAATGACTGAGGAGATAAGAATGGAATAAATGTCAAAAGCATAGGCGCAATTTCAATTTTTAACTTGGGGGCTGGAAATTCTTTTAAAATATATATATATATATAAGTAAATATATTTTTGTATTTCTAAATTGTATGTATAACCTAATTTTTTTGGGGGGCTAAGCCCACCCTAGCCCCCCCGTATTTGCGCCTATGGTCAAAAGAATTTATATTTTAGGGTGATGAGAGGAATACGAAGTTGGGAAATAGCAGGACACCATAGCAGATGGGGGAAGTCGCATGGAAATCCATCGTCGTGACGAGGGTAGAATGGGGAATTGTTAAGGGAGAGTTTGAAAGCGTGGTATGGGAGCAGGTTATGGCCGGATCTTAAGCGGGAGAAAAAGATTATGTCTCTTCTAGACAAAGGGAGGTACAGATTTTCTTTTAGTCTTAAAGTTTTATTTTAAGTCGTTAAAAACGAAGTCTGATGGAATCCTTAAATTGGACGACAGACGTGTATAGGGTATTATTTAAATATTAAATGTAGTAACAATTACACCTAGTTTTTTTAAAAACAATTTTTCTTTTAGAAATCGA